TATTAATAATGTTATTTTTATATGTAAAATTATAATGATATTGATATTTAATTTTAATTTTAATTTTAATCGTTTTATTTTATTTTCTTTAAAGATTAATTTTTTATGTTTAATTAATTTTTTTATACTTTTTCTATTTTTTAATATATTAGGATCTGATACTAATTTAAAGGTTGCTGGTTTTTCGTTCATAAAGTACTCTTCTGGTGTATAAAATTTTAAATTGCAATTTAATGCAAACTTTCTAAATTCATTCATTAATTAGGTTATTTATAATATAAAATGATTTTATAAATAAATAAATTATTAATATATTTATTTATTTATTTATTTTATTTTATTTTAAAAAAAAAAATTGATAAAATATTATGGTATAATTAAATATAACAATAACAATAATAATAATAATTTTAATTAAGAATTATAATAATAGTAATAATAATTATAGTTATAATAATAATAATAATAATAATAATTATCGTTACTATAATTACTTTTTAAAAAAAAAAAAAAAAAAAAAAAAAAAAAAATAAGATTTTATACACAAAGTGTATACCTATCATTATCAGAATGATCCTTTTTAACACCACGTTTCCATCCTTCTGGTCTTCCTGCAGCGTCTCCACAATAAAAACTTTTTTCATAATCTTATTGATATGAATATATATTAAACATGAGTAAAAAATAATTATTATTATTAATTAAAAAAAATATATATTAATCATAGAAGTATTATCAATAAAAAATTAAAAAAAAAAAAAAAAAAAAATTAATAAACAAAAAATATAGGTTTATATAAAAAAAAAATTCTAATATATATATATTATTTATATTTATATAAATTATCAATTTCATATTTCAACAAATTTACTAATTAGTAAACATATATATATATATATTTAAATATATTTATAAAAGCTTACTTATATCAACTTTATTATATTTTTCTAAAAATGTATTCCATATTCCTTTACAAGGTTTTCTAAATTTATCTTTTTCTACTGCACAAAAAATCATAATTGGAATATCTAAAATCTTAAATATATTATTAATTTTAATTTTAAATTGCTCTTCTTTTATTTTAGCATTTTTTTTACTATCAATTCTTGAGAATCCATTTTGATTTGAAAAAATAACTACGCGAAAACTAAATTGTAAAAGTAATATAAGACAAAAAAAAAAAAAAAAAAAAAAAAAAAAGTTTAAATATATATTTTATGTTTAATAACATTAATATAATTAAAACAGTTAATTGGTAAAGTAAATTTGAAGATGAGATAGAAACTTAATACTTTTTTTTAAAAAAATAAAATAAAATAAAATAAAATAAAGGGAACTCTCTTTTATAATTACCCATCTTCAACTAATTTTTTTAATTTATTTGGAATAAATGAATATGTAAATTGCCAGTCATCTGCATTTTTTGGAAATTTATTCTTTCCCTTAGGTCTAATTAATGTTTCATCCTTAATAAATATTTATATGTCAAATTTAATAAATTCATTTTATAGTAGTAATAGACACATAATTGTTTGGTTAATACATCATAAATATAATTACAAAAGAATAAAAAGAAAAAAATAATAATAAATAAGATAATAAAATTTGATAATATCTAAATTATATTAGAATACCAAATCAAATGCTGCTATTTTTTCATTTGGAGATTGAGTTTTATAACTTTTAATAAGGACTGTATCTTCTTCTCTCCAATCATCAGGCATTCCAACTTTTTTTTTTTAGAAGATAAAATAAATATAATAAAATAAAATAAAGTAAAATAAAATTTAAAAGTACAATATAAAAATACACAAAATATAAAATATTGAATATTTATTAATACTTCTTTTTTTTTTTTTTTTTTGGTTTTAAATTTATGTCCAATTTATAAAACAAATTAAAATAATAATGGTAATAATAATAAAACTTAAACGCTAGACATATAAATAGTATTTATTAATACTAGAAATTTCAAATAGAGCTTATTATTAATATTATTTTTACGTATTAAATTTACTTTTTTATATTTTTAATAAATATTATTATTATTATTATTATTATTATTATTATTATTATTGCAATACCATTTAACTTTTTTGCATTATTCTTATCCTTATTATCATTTAGCTTCCTTTTTCTAGATGTCATTATTACAATATTTCAACTTTTTTTTTTCTAATTATAATTATTTTTAAGTATTATATATATATATATATTTTTTAATATGGATGATAAATTTTTTGAACTACTATTTATTATTTATTATATTTTTTAATTATAATTAGAGTTAATTAAAATATTATTAAATAAGGTCCAATCATTTAATATTTTTTTTTACTATAAAATCAAAGTATATACTTTAATAACTGTAAAAGAATCAATTCAATAATTCAATAAAACTATAGTAATCTTTTATGGAAGAAATATTAATTTTATTATATTTTATTTTAATTTTATAATAGTATATATATATATTTTTTTTTAAATTTATTTTATATTTAATTAATTTATTTTTTCTTTTTTCTTTATGTCTTATTTATTTATGAATTCTTTGTTTTTTAGTTATAATTGTTAAAATATAATGTTTTAAAAATTTTTTAAAAAAAATGAAATACGATTATAATTATAAAAAAAAAAAAAAAAAAAAAAAACATTAATTGCTCTTATAACTTTAACTATTAAAATGTTAATAAATAATATTTTATTATTAACATCATAATTTTTTAAAAATATAAAATATTAATTTTAAAAAATAAATATTGCAATCCGAAATATAAAAAATAAAATGAAAAAAGCAATAAAAAAGGAACAAAGCATAAAAAAAACATAAAATAAAATATATATATATTGTTATGAATATTATACATTAAGTGTCTTACAAAATTAAAAAATATCACTATACTACTAAGTATAAAAAGTAATAATAAATAATAATTTATTACTGAAAATAATGAAATAAATATTGGGTTAATTATATAAATGATAATAATAATATATATGATATGTTTAGAAATACGCTTTAATAATAATAAATAATGTTATCTAATAAATGTCTCTAATATATGGATAATAAATAAAATATTAAAAGTTAAAAATATAATTATTAATTATGAAAATCTCTGAATAATATAATTAAGTAATAATAGAAATCTTTTCTTTTTTTTACTATTATTTAGCATTGCTAAATATATATAAAAAATATAATAAAATATATAAGTATTAGCTTTTTTTTTCCTCCTTTTCCTTTTTTTTAAAAAAAAACTTCTCTTTCTTATTCACAAGTATAATTGTTAACGTTCCAGCATTGAATGCTAACTATATAATTTTTAAAACGAAAGGTCGTAATATATTTATGTTTATCATTTGCACTCTTAAGTTTTCTATACTTGTTTTTATCATGATTTAAACGGCTTAGCTTTTGTTGCCTAGACCTTTTTATTTATTTATTTATTTTTATTTTTTTTTTTTTTAATTTTTTTTTTTATTATTTTATTTTTAATAATTTATTATTATTAAATGTTTATTATTATTATCTTTTATTATAAAAATTAAAAAATTATATAAAAAAAATCTAACACTAATTAAATATTTATAATATTTACACAATAACTACTTTTGTATATACTATAAATATTTAAATAGTTTATATATAAATAATACATAGAAATTATTTTTTTTATTAACTCATATTCACATATCAAATTTACTTTTTCTTTGGTTGAAGCTTTTCATATAAAGTCTTTTCATCATAATTCTTTAAGAAATCATCAATTGTTTCTTCTTTATAATTTAAAGTTTGAAGATGATACATCTCAAAGAAACCTTTTAAAGTAAGTTCATTTCTATCATTAGTGTCAAAAGATTCAAGAATTTCATTAAAATCTTCAGTGGATAACTATAAAATGATTTGAAATTTTTATTTATTAAATTTTATATAAAGAATTTAGAAAAACATAATATTTTATTAACTTATTTATTTACTTATTTATTTATTAAATAATTACAAATAAATAAATAAATAATCTTTTTATTTTTATTTATTTTTTTTTATATATATAAATATATATATTTATATTTATAAATATAAATCAAAAAATAGTATATTATAAATATTATATTATATTTACCTTTTTACCATTAGTAGTTGTGAAGTATGAATTAATTTCTGAATGATTCCAGAATCCATCTTCATCAGCATCAAATTTTTCGAAGATTTCTCTTAAAACAGTTTCACATTCTTCGGTAAACCAATCATCTTTATCATCAAGTAACTTAATATTTAATAAAGTAGACTTAGTAATCTTCTTTCCAGCAATTAAATCCATGGTTTAATAATTATTATAACTTTATTTTATTTTATTCTACGACGTTTCTTAAAAGAAAAAAAAGAAAAATATTTATATTATTTATTATAGAAACAAAAGAAAAGAGTTAAAAAAAAATATATATATATATATATATATTTTTTTTTATTACTAAAAAAGGTAAAAATAAAAAGTTTAATATTGTGTTCCAATAAATATTTAGTATTTATTATTAATTATAAATTTTAATATAATAATATATATAATAATAATTAAAATAAAAAAAAAAAAATTTTTTTTTATTATTCTTTTATTTTTTATAATATATTTAATATTATTAATATTATTATTATTATTTATATTTATTATTAGTATTATTATTTTATTTTAATAATTGTTATTAAAAAATAAAAATAATAATTAAAAAATATTTATACATATTTTTTTTTTGAATATATGAATGTATATGCCACTTTATTGCCACTCTCTTGGTCATACCATAAAAATTTTAATTAAAAATTTTATTATACTATTTATTTAAAAAAAAGTTTTAATTATTAAATTAAAAATATTAAATACAAAATTAATAATATTTATACAAGAATTAAAATAATAATAAAAATTAATGTATAAAATTAAAAAAATTTATATAAAAATAAAATTACTATACAAACAAAATTAAAAATATTTAAAAAACACCTGAGATGGGACTCGAACCCACAATCCTTGCCTTAGGAGGGCAATGCCTTATCCATTAGGCCACACAGGCTTATTTCAATTTTGATGATACAAGATGAAAAGAAAAATAATGATATTTTAAAATTATTATTAAATTATATTAATTATATAAAGTTTGTAAAATATATATTATTATAAAATTAAAATTAATTATATAAAAATGATGAATTATATTAATTATAAATCATATAAAATAATATTATTATAGTATAAAATTTAATTATTATAATATAAACTTTTATATTAATGTTTATATAAAATATAACAATTATGATTTAATATAGAGATAATAATTATAAAAAAAAATATATATAAAAATATTATAAAAAAAAAAAAAATGTTTTTGTTAATAAATTATTGATATATGTTAATTAGTAATAGTTGATTTAATATAAGAAAAATGTTTTAATTAGTTAAGATAGTAGTTTAGTTATTAGTTTTAATAAAATTAGTTGTTTAAGTAATTAATTGTAGAATATTATAATTAAATTATAATTATTAATAGTTAATATGATAAAAATAAAATAAAATAAAATAAAATAAAATAAAATAAAATAAAATAAAATAAAATAAAATAAAATAAAATAAAATAAAATAAAATAAAAATAAAATATTACAAAACAAATATCCTAAAATAAAAATTTTAAATAATTAAATAAAATAATTAATATTATTATTAGAATATATAATTTAATACAATTCCCCAGTGTAGCGCCCAAAACTATTGTAAATACGAATATTTAAAATATATCGTATCATCGAAGGAGATCTAATAATATTTAATTTTTACAAATATTTTCTTTTATCGTTTTACCTAATTGATACTATTATTATTTTATTTTCATTTTAAAGACATTTTACTAAAAGCTCTGAATATAATTTTTTATTCATTTTATAAGAATATTTTTTTTTTGTTTAATCAAATATATATATAAAGTATTATAAATATTATTTCCAGAATTATTGGAAATATTATAAAGTAATTCTTTTTCTATTATACATAAAGAATCACAATTAGTGTAACTATAATTTCCAATCATATATATTTTATAGTATTAACAATAATAAAAATACAATAATTTAATAATAGAATCATATAATTTCTGTGATACAACTAATAAATATTGAAGAATAAATTTTAAATACTAAATAATATAATTTATAATTATTATAAAAAAAAATTAAACCCAATAATTATAGCAGTATTTAATTTTGGAAATATTAGGTAAATTTTGTTTTGATTTAAACTTTATAAATATAATTTTTTAAAAATTATTTTTATCTATTTATAATGTTTATAAATATAATTTAAAAAAAAAAAAAAAAAAAAAAAAAAAAAATCTTAATTTCTTAGATTTTAATTTTTTATAATGTAATTATTGACATGTTTTATTAAAAATTATTTATACACGATATTATTGTTATTATGTCAAAATATTATATGTAAATTTTAATAAAATAGGATTAAATAAAAATAATTTAAAAATAAGGTATATATTAAATTATAGATAATATATATTGACGTGGATTATAAATAATACCATTATTTGAATTATTATATATATTAATATAATACTTCTATTAATTAAATAGTTTTAAGATAGTCTTAAAATGACAATTGGTGATAAAATATTAATTAAAATTTAAGAGAACTATTAATTATGGAAAAATTATTAATAAATGAAGGCTTTTCAAAATTTTTCTCTAAATATACTTATAAATTATAGGAGAACACCTAACCTAAAAGTAGTTAATTAAAATAATATATATAATGAATATAATGTTCCTAGTAAAAATATATATATTAATTTAGTTTTTAATTGAACGTGATAAAATTAATAATAATAAAATATAAATTAAAATAAATTAAACCACTTTTTTTTTTTAATCTTAGAAATGTTTGATTTTCATCAGTAATTGAATTTAATTTTTATTATTATTATTATTATTATTATTTTTTATAATATTAGAATAATTTCATCTTGAGAAGAGATCAATTATTTCAACATGAAAAAAAAAATATATATAATTAATATTTTCTGTATTTTAATTACAATAGTCATAAATAGTAAAAGACATAATACTTTTAGAATAATCATAAAAAATTTCTACTTTTTGTAACTTTAACAAAGTAAATAACGACATGTTAAATAATAAAAATAGATTTTCAGGGTTTTTAAATGTATTAATAAATTAAAATATAATGGAATTGCTTAAAATAATAAAAAATTATGATATAAAATAAATATTAGTTAGAATAAGCATAGTAATAAAAACGTTTTTATCATGGTTATTTAATAAAGGTATTTTATGACATGACATTAAGTAATAAAATAATATACTGAAAATTGAAAAAGAGATTAATATTATAAATTTAATTATAAAATTTATAGGTAAAAAAAAAATAAATAAATTGGAAATAATATTTTATTTAAAATTTTTAAATAAAGGTTAGGATATATTATTAATAAAAGGGCATTTCCCAAATTGAAAATTATTAAATAAATGAATAAAATAAATAAAAAAAATATTATTAATATTAATGTATTTATATTTTAGAAGAAAATATTTAAATATTAAAAATTTTTTTTCATATATAAATATCTTTACAAATATCTGTTTAAATAAATATATAAATGAATTTATAAAAATAATATTAAACTACTTTAGAAAAAGAAAAGTGTTAGAAATGATTTCATTAAATTGAATCTAGTGTTTTTCAATCGTGCATTCATAATGTGGCGTATTTTTGTATGAGGCTTGTTTTTTAATAATTAAATAAATAATAAATATTCTTTTTTTTATATATATAATTTATTAATATTCAATTATAAAAATAATTTTTTATAATTCTTTTTTAATAGAATATATTATTATTTCTTTGAAAATAGTTATTTAATAATATATTTAATTGAAAAAATATATTATTATTTCTTTTAAAATATTAATTATTTATATATTTATTATGATTGCATAGAATATCTTAAAAATGTATGGCTTTATTAAAAATAATATATGCCACATTATAAACATTATAAAATGTACGATCCCCATTAAATTATAGTTGAAATGCTTAAATGATTTAAATATTAAAATTATTCAAAAAAATAAATAATAAATTATTAAGAAATGACAGAAAATTGACCAAATGAATTCTGTCATATATAATAATAATTTTTTAATAGCAAAAATTATTTTAAAAAGAGAATAAATGAATAATTAAAATAATGATTGAAGTGTTTTTAAGAATCTAGTGCATTTCACAATGTGGCGTGTTTTATATGTGGCTTGTTTTAATAATTAAGTAAATAATAAATATTCTTTTTTTTATATACATAATTTATTAAAATTCAATTGTAAAAATAATTTTTTATAATTCTTTTTTAATAGAATATATTATTTCTTTTGAAAAAGTTATTTAATAATATTTAATTGATTGTATATAGAATATCTTAAAAATATATGGCTTTTTTAAAAAAGTATATACGCCATATTTCAAAATGCTCTATTGAGAAATACACGATCCCCTATTTTTAATCTTTATTGGATAGGTTAGATTAAGAACATTAAAATACATTTTATGATAAAATATTATAATTTTAAAAATATATTTTTAAAATTAAAAAAATTATTATATTTTATTGTATTATTTTGTTACTTCAATTTTTAAATTAAGTGAATAATTAAATAAATCATATAATTGTTATATTTTATGTTTTTAATTCGGGGCGTGTATTTCGCAGTGTGGCGTATAAATAATATTAAATAAAGCCATACACTTTTAAGATATTCTATACAATCATAAATAAATAATTATTATTTTAAAAGAAGTAATAATATATTTTTTCAATTAAATATTATTAAATAACTATTTCAAAAGAAACAATAATATATTTTATTGAAAAAGAATTATAAAAAATTATTATATAATTGAATATTAATAAATTAATATTCAATTATATATATAAAAAAAAAGAATATTTATTATTTATTTAATTATTATTTATTAATTATTATTTAATTGATTGTAAAACAAGCCACAATATAAAATAAAATAAGGCATATTTATATAATGTGGCTTTTTATAAAAGTTACATATTGTTATATAAGTGGCTCGGCATAAATTAAATATTAATTTAAAGGAAATTGTTACTTTTCGGAACGTGGCTTGAAATTAATTCATAATTTAACTCCCCATATTTTTAAAATTAAATATTATTCAATATAATTTTATTATTTATTAAAAATTTAAAAAATTATTATTCATTTATCAATTAATATTTAACATGAACGGTTTATTAAAGTACATCATATTTTATATTAAGCCACATTAGGAAATTTACTATTATTTAAAAAAAAATTAAAATGCTGTAAAAATTTATTTACATTTCAAAAGGTAACGTTCAGAAATTCAACATTTCCATTATTTTATTATATTTTAAATGAATCAAATGTGATCGTACATTTCGCAATGAGACATGTTTTGTATGTGGCATATTTTTTAATAATTGAATAAATAATAAATATTCTTTTTTTTTATATATAATTTGTTAATATTCAATTTTAAAAATAATTTTTTATAAAAAAATAATTTTTATATTTTTATAATTCTTTTTTAATAGAATATATTATTATTTCTTTTGAAATAATAATTATTTATATATTTATTTATGATTGTATAGAGTATATTAAAATGTATGGCTTTAATTTAAAATATTATAAGCCACATCACAAAATTCACAACCCATATTAAATATTTATATATTAAATAGTTTTAAGCCACTCTTACATAAAAGGTTTATTTAGTCAAGGATTATTTCATAAAGCCAAATTCCAAAATACAATTTAATAGTAAATTATCTAGGACTAAACAATGTTTTTGTAATTATTGCTACTGTAACATAATGAGGTGTTCTAATAAAAAGACACTCAAATTGAATAAAATAAAAAAGACAAATTGAATTAAAAGATATTCAAAATGAATAAATTAAAATAAATATTAAAATTAATAAACTCGAATATTTACTAGTA